CCGCTCGCGCTGGAGGGAGAAGTGAAGGAGACACCGATCCGCCCGACGCCGCGAAGGACCCCAACGAGCCGGGGCCGCCCACCTCGCCGCCTGCTCCGCCGCCGCACCCGGCCCCTCCTGTCCCGCCTCGAGGGCGGGCCCCGCTTTTTACGGAGACTCCTCGTCCCCGCGGGGGTGCGCGGGACTCAGGGAAGGCGGTCGCCTGGCAGGCACAGCGGAGGGCAGCCCCGGGGGGGCATAGGGTCCTTCAGGCCCCGCCGCGGGATGGGCGGAGCTTAGAGGGACCGGGGGCGGGGCGGGGCGTGGAGGGAGCCACGTGGGCGGGGCGGGCTGCTCCGAGGAAGCGCGTCCACTTTTCCGCGCATGCGCGGGGAGGGGGTTTCTCGGTTGTGGAGGTGCAAGCCGGCCTCCGGGGCGAGATGTCTACCATTCGAGCCTTAAATGAAGATAGGCCCGGTGACGATGGGCGCTTGCTTAAAACATTACCCAAATGATGGCCCCGTCCCCTCACGGGGGAGTCAAAGGTCGGGGAAGGGCCCTTCCTCGGGTGCTGGGGGAGGGCAGGAGGGGCTCTGTGTCCTTGAAACAAAATAAACCCAGGACTTTCTGGTTTTGCTTTTAAACCTCGTCATTGCTTTTATTTTTAGGCATACACAGAGAAGCCAGGCTGCACGTAGGAGCAACATGAAGGAGCTGTAGGGAAGCTAAACCAGAGATCAGTGATGACATGTAGTTTAAGGATTACAGCCTTGCCTCCGGCCTGGCTTACTGCTACCCTCCCTCTCACCACCCCTACTACACAGTTCTCCCTTGCCTCAGGGACCAAAAGTCTTCTGTGTAAAGTCCTCCCTTACACCTCACTAAAACCACACACTGTACGCCTTCCTGTGCTGTCCCAATTTCCCACAGTGAAAAGTCTGGGTGCCCTGACACATGATGTGCAAGTGCACAAACAGCAAGGCAGATCTCCTCAGTCTTTTCTGGAATATGTATATATTCTGGCTAGGATTCCTCACTTACAAATTTTAGTCCTGAATTACCATAAATTGTTAAAGAAAAAATCAGGATGCTGACAAAACAAAAAACTTTTTGCAGCAATTTTCTGATCATAGAGGAGATCCCTTGTGGAAAACAGCTAGACAGAGTATCACATGACTATTCTGCAGCAATCAGTGTACTGCAACATGCCTTATGACACTCCTTACAGCAGAAATCATTGAGTCACTAGTGCAATAGAGTGGGCCAAAGTGAAGTTTGGCAGTAGGGTATGAAGTATTCAGCACCCATAAAGTGGCGTGCAAAGACATGCCTCTTAATGCAATTTCCCCTTCCAACACAAATGCTTTCACCCCTCAAGCCCCCACAGATTAGTATATTTAGACACACAAGATAAGTATTGTATAGCAGAAGTTACAGGAGAATTCCTCATGAGAGAATGTGAGGAAAGAGGGAATGGAAATTGGGATGAAAAGGGAATGAGAAAAATCAGTATGCTTTAGTGCATGTTGGACTATACATTAGAAATAGAGGTCTTATTAAATAAAATACTGATTGTTGCCTATAACAGTCCATTGTTCAAAGCTATTATTCATTCAGAATAGATTTATATAATGGACAATGTACCTTCCTGAATTCAGGACTTAAAACTTTAGTTATGATTTGGCATCATTTTAAGGAATCTAGAAATACAAGTAATTACCACCCCACCCTTGTGGAACAATAATGAATCATCTGGCTTACTAGATGTTCTATACACTGTATCTGAAGAAAGAATGCGCACACTCCCTTGCATCAACATGCTAGTATAAAGAGATTAAAACCCTTCAACCATCCCTCATTGCCTAAATCTCCAAGAGAAGGGGATGGTCACTGGAGCTACAGTGGTGAAAGGAAAAGGTACTCAGAGACTGGCTAGTTCTGATACCATCATTCCATAAATACTCACTAATGTGCATACGGTCTTACCTTTGCCTCAACTATCTGTACCATTCACCCATTTCCTACAGCCTGTATTTCTTAGTCAGCACCACATTACATAGATATAGGCTATAAGTCTTTGTCAGGATGCACAAGGCTGCTGTCAGTGAAACCTGCCTGGGTTTGGTGGAAAAGTGATCACAGAAGCCACGTTGTAAAGTTGATATGAAAATTTACTAGCTTAGTCATCAGCTCTGCGTATCCATCATGCTAAGCATGTAAAGAAGCTGGAGTTAAAGTTGAATACAAATATAATAACAATAAAGCACTAATTCAAACTTCCATTTATCAATAATCAAGGCAGTCTAAAGCAAGAAAAAAAAACACTCCAGACACTGAAAAAAACCCACAGAGCTGTGTGTTTAAGATGGACCACAACAGATGTTCTGTGTTAAGGGCTTGTCAACCACCTCAGCTGCATCAAGTTAGCTACAGATAAAAATTTAAACCAATTTATAGTTTCATAGTTTCTAGGGTCGGAAGGGACCT